AATCAATGAACAAACGAACATCATCATGGTCATCATTGCAGATCGAAAAAAAAAAGGTTATTAGTGTAAGTTAGATATTCATGTATGTTACATTGAAGAGTGTCATATAGCCTTGATCAAATCAGCATGATATCTTACCATAAGTACCTTCTCATTACAAGAAGAGCAACAACAAACAGCTGCAGCTAATCTCCTACAAACACCTGTCAATCAACGTTTGTACTATTCTATATAAATCAGTATCTGCTTATAGAACATATAATGTCGAACAATTCTATATTACGACGTGTTGAACAAAAGAAAGCAGAAATGAATCATTCGAACTATACAATGCATTATTCTACGACAGCTGATTAAATTGTATGTCACATTCATAGACGATGATGACGTAAGGTTCATTACCTTTTTTTCTTCTTCTTTAAAATCATATAGTGGTATACATAACCAAGAAATTGGATCTTCTAGCGTCTACTTAATAGAAAATGTGGACAAGAAAAAAAAAAAAAAAGAACATTCTATCTGTGAATAAGTTATTAATGTTGTGTATGTGCAGTTATTGTCCTTTTTCACAAATGTATTGCAAAATATGGAAAAGTGTAATTAACTCATCGTTGATATATGTAAAAGACAAATAGACATACGCGATTGTAATAAGGCGACCAAGGTTAAAACGATTTCTACAACTTCTGTTCTTGCTTTCTTTTCAACATAGACATGTTTCTTTGTTACTCAATGTTGACACTCTTTGATATAGAATGGATAAAGATAACCACTACGAACTGCTATCAATAATAATTACCATAGGCTCCATGTTACATCAACATAATAAGTATGTAGGACATGTAATCATTTTTTCTAGTCAGTAGGTATGAAGGTTAATGTTTTCTTTCTAGAGGATTGTAAAATAATATTTTTCGAAGGATAATTTGGTCTTATATACAAATGATATCAAAATTGAATTTTATACTAAATGAAAACTCATCGAAAAAAGGATTTAGAAGTATAATAAAGAATTCATAAGATGATCATGAGCTAGAGAATTATAAAAAATTTCAAAATTTCAGGCATACAATTGAGGACTGTGGCTCGTCAACCATGAAAAAGAAATAGATCTCTGGAAATATTTCGCCTATCAACTGTCGTAGAATTTTCTTTGTCAATCATTTTGATAAAAAGATTTTTTAAATTTGACAAATAAATGATGATGTTGGTATTGAAATACTGAAAAATATCATACCTTTAACAGACAGAGCTGTTTTAAATTTTTCAGTATTTAGATCTTAAATAATCATTTATGCATCAAATTAAAAAAAAAATCTTTTTATCAAAATGATCAACAAAGGTAATTCTACAATGGCTAATAAGTAAAATATTTCCTGAGACTTATTTCTTTTTCGTGGTTAACTACTCATAGTCTTCCATTGTATGCCTGAAATTTTGAAACATTCTGTAATTCTTTAGCTTCTGATCATCATATGAGTTCGTTGTTATACTTCTAAATCATTTTTCTCGAAGAGCTTTTATTGAGTATAAAATTCAATACTGATATTATTCATATTTGGAGCTACGTCGTTTGGAAAAATATTGTTTCCAACCTTGTACAAATAGAATCAACAGAACTTCAGAAAATGATTGTTTTTATAGCTAATACTAAGAAAATTGAATATGATGAAATCATTGTTCCACTTGATTAAATGAACTATTCAATGGTAATTATCGATTGCAAAACCTTGACTGATCTATAATATTATCACAGTCAGTGCAATGAACCGAGCAAAAACAAAAGAAATTCTTCCATTCATTTGATCACGGCGAAGGTAACAACATCAATTCAATATTAAAGATTTGTTGCATGAACAAATTTATTTTATTCATATAAAGTTAAAAAAAAACAACGAGTTAATCTAAAGTCATTGTTTCAATCTCTATCCATTATAATTTTTTTTATTTAATAATAAATAATACTAGTCAAATATAATGCAATAAAATATTCTTTTTTTTTCAAATAACTATTTGTCTCAATTTTTTTTCTTCGGAATAGCAAAGCAACTATGCATTGAATTTTCAAACGTGATGTATTTGTAAATTCATTTCGTTGATTGTTTTTATGAAGCTTGTTAAAAAATATTTTTGAAGGGTGGATGTGGGTATACTCTCTTGAATATTTTGAAGAATATAGTAGTTATACGACTACTATTCAATCTTTTATACATCATACTGACAAAGATTATGAAAGCGATGACCAATAGCAATCAAACAGGAAAAAACGCAACCTGTGGCACAAGTTCTAGTCAGACAACGAGTAAAATAGAGTATAAGATATTGTTCATTTGCTTTCAAATGACTCTTTCTTTTTCTTCTATCACATGACACAAAAACACGGCGAGTAGCAACCATTGAGCAATTAATAGGAAAAAGAAAACTTCACAACAGGCTAAAACTGCATAATGAAAAGATTCAGTGATCATGCGATGTATATATTATACGGTTTCGACTCTGTTATAGTTTCCAACTAGAATACTATGAAACTTGAAAAGTTGGTTCAATGGAACAAGACGTTTTCCAATTAAGATTGTTGAGAGTGTACAATGTTGTACTCTCCAAGTACATACTGCTATCTGAACATTTAGTACTTATCTACACTACAAGTCTTTAAATGTTCAAATGTTCAAGTTTTTAAGTGTAAATTTTGAGAAACTCAAATAGACGCTCACAGTTAATCATCTCCGATTTGACTGGTTTTTTAAAACATGTTATAGTTGAGATGACCAATATACCATTCTAAAAGGTATAGCTCTCTAATTTGTATTGGTGAGTCGTCGGTATTATTGCAATGATTGTGATTTCATACATTTTTTTCAAAGAGGTATCTTCTAATGATTTTGCAATGAATGGATGTTCATCAACGCTAACAACAAATTAAACCTTTTATAGAAGTTGCTATCGCCGACGATGAAGTGAATGTATAGCAAACATTATCATCTAATATTTATATACAGCTGAACAATAACTTTCTTTCGATCGCAGGTCAAATAATATTTTCTAGAAAATCAAGTTGATTGTCTAAATAATTGAAATATGATCAACAATGTATAAAATTTAAAAATTCTTAAGCATTTTATACCTCGATTTTCTAACAATTAGAATTTATTTCTAGTTTACAGTGTAAAGAATTGCAGATATATATAGCTTTATGTGTTTTAATGTCTTACATTTAATCAAGCACTGGTGCGGAGGAACCGACATACAAATGATTTTTTATTCTACGAAAAGTTTGGAAATCACTTTCTTAAGCAATAATTGACTTCATAAACAAGTTACACAAGAGATCTCCAAGAGATTCTACGGTTTTACTGAAGGTTCTCGAAAATTTTTGAAATGTTTGCTTTTAATAGGACATAAATATTACTGATTGCTCAGGAAATACTGATAGACAAGCAGCTGGTCTTTGGTGTAACCGGATAGGTATTTGAATTCGATCAGTGCTGTCATCTTTTGAAATTTGAAAAGCAGAAAATAACAGAAGTTTTATCATCGAATAACAGAAAAACAGCAGAAAATATCTTTATGATATGAAAATAACAGGTAGCTCGTAATAAAAGAGGGTCCCAGTCCCAGTATTTTGTTAACATCTTAAGCGTTATCTTATCGCTCATGCTTAATTTTTTTATCAAAAGATTCGCCGTCTTCTTCTGCACAAATTGCATATTTCGTTGTAAAAATACATATCTCCTTCTCTTTCGACATCACCACGATTTAAAAACAGCACTACACACAACTTTCAGAATCTCTATTTTCTTCAATGTTTTTCCAAAAACATCCAGTCCTTAGATTAATCTTATTATGACTGGTCGTGCCATATTCTTTTTCCAGAAATAAAATAAATTGTCTTTGGTACGTTGATTGAAATGAACCAATTTATCTCTTGAGTGGTGAACAAATTATACCTAAACTAACGGGATTAATTGAGAAACTGGGCATTTTGAGAAAAAATTGAAAAAATGAAGACTTTGAAAGTTGTGTGTAATGCTTGTTTTAAATCATGATGATGTTGAAAGAGAGATAAGTGTTTTTTTACAGCGAAATATACCAATGTCTGCAGAATCAGACGATGAATCTTTTGATAAAAAAATAAAGCGTGAGCGATGAGATAACGCTTAAGATGTTAACAAAATACTGAGACTCTCTTTTATTACGAGCTACCCGTTAGTTTTAAATTTTAGTTTCAGTATACTAATCACTCGTATTGTATGGCATCACAAAACGCAACTAATTAACAAATAGACAGAATCATTGAACATGTTTTCTTTTTAAGGAATATTCGTCATCTGATTTAAGAGCTTTTGACAAATCTGTTTTGCCTAATAAATATTTATCCATTATAGTGTATGATAAGGAGAAATTCAAATTAATTGTTGATTAAATCATAGCATTTAAAATTTCTTTTTGTTTCTTATTGTTCATAGGATTATCAATATTAGCTTTTTATTAACAATTTTCAGAAAATTGTTGATGACGAACGATAAATGTTAGTTGAGACGGATCAAATTTATGTTCTTTTAAAGATTATTAATATTCGACGACTTTGAACCGTTCTCTGTCGAAGATAACTCTATTCAATTTCTGTTTTCTAGTTTAGCTCCTGATGACATAATTGTTACTTCAGCAACTACCATCGCTTTGTGAAAACCTTCTTTGCTAGTCGAGCTGACATTAACAGCTAGAGCTGTTTTTTCTATTTTTTTCCTCTCACTGATCATATTAATTATTCATGTTCATTGAGTAAATAAACGAAAGAATATATATGTTGATATATATGAATTACATGAATAATTAAAATGCTATAGAAAGCCATAAATAAAGAATTGATTTAAAGCCAAATATGTAGGTTGGTAGTTGTTTGTAGTCAGTAGAAAATAAAAATCATCTGTATCAAATAGAAAGAATTAGAATGGTACAAAAATATCAGTAGTTTTTGATACAGTTTTTTTAAAATAATTATGGAAACGAAGGTATTTCAGGTGAAAAATGTTGATTGAAATGATAAATAACGCCGTATCAAAAAAAAGTAGAAACGACAGAAAAAGAAACAGAAAAAACTTCAAAAAGCAGAATTTTACTGCTAAAAGCAGAAGAGGTGGCAGCTCTGAATTCGGTAGATGAATCTGAGGAGAGAATAATTTTTTTTTAAATCAAAAAAGTCGATGCCACTAGTCTCGAATAAGTACTTCGAAAAGAAAGACGCGTGCTGTAGTTGTTGATTTTCGAGCCCACGTATAAGCGAAGAAAAACTATCTTGAGAAATTGAGGCAGCTGTTCTTATTTATCGTTCTCAATTTCGTTTTTATATTCATTGGCTCTTTTTTTTGATCATATCTCTTATCATCGAGCAAAACATCGAACTTTTCATTCTATTGAGTAAAGTAGAGGAGACTATTCCAAGTAAGTCTATTCCGTTAAGCAGGCTTAATATATCAATTTTGAGCGAACGCTAGTTTCTTATCGAAAAACTGAATGAAGCAACAACATCTCCATAGAAAAAAATGGCTCGGTTGAATAAGGAACATGTGTTTTATTTGTTTTTTATTGTAGACCTACCCTATTCTTGAAAGTGGTTACAATTATGTTGCTACGTCAGCAAATAGTCATGATTCTCGTAATCATGGTCAGCTTCGTCCATTGTGCAAGGATTCCTTCGACGGATAGTGTCGGTCGTATAGAAGATATTGAAAATATTGGTCAAATGCTAAGGGATAGTCATGGTTGTGATGCAATGGTACGAAGCTGTGGTAATAAGGGTAAATGTTGCGATGTTCACGACGCTTGCTACAAGAGACATGGTTGTACAGCTTCCAGTTGGTTTCTTTTATGTAAGTCGAATTTAAGTGTCTGTCGAGTATTTTCATTTCAGGTTCAATTTCTTATAGTTCTGTGCTATCTAATAGTCTTCTCGAAGCACGACGTTTTTTTTCCGAACGAATGTTTGATTAAAATTTTCAAAAAGACGAATTTTAAATTCTAGGGGGTAATTGTGCTACATGCAACAGAGATGTCATGGGTTGTGTTGCCTTCAACAATCCGGGCAAAAGTACATGTTGTGCAGCGAGAAACTGTGGTCAAGCACGGCCATAATGCAATCGTTCGCAGCTTGCTAATTGTTTCTTTCTTGTGCTTCTTTCCTTCAAATATTGAATAAATAAAACAACGATTCTAATCAATTGACTATAACCAAGAGGACGTTGGATGTGTTCATTTTCACTAATAAATATAATAGAAGAATGTTACTGAGGGTGTGGAAGTGTGGATATGGATTTAGGCGAAAATACGGAAATTCACCGTCATCACTTTACACCCACACCAAACAATTTCATTAACTTTTGCCAATACAATACCGTATAAAGAAATAGAACAAACTATGAATGCTATTTAAGAATTGGATAGTCCAGCAGAATCAGTTCTACAGCGAATTTGATAAGGTTCGAACGAATTTCAATGGGATCTTATCAGATTCCATCGGAGTCCTCTAGGAAAATTGTCGGAAACTGAGATACACAATGACACTCGGATTTCTAGTGTTGGAACTCGATTGAATTCTACTGCATGAACTTGGCAGAATCCTATTAACACAAAATGATCTAATCCCATGGTCGAATTTGACAGGGCCTTCGGCATTCGAATTTCATTGGATTCCTGCAGAATCTAGTCAGATTTCAATACTTAGGATCTAAAGTAATTCCCATACTTCAATTTTGATAGCATCTGATGGTATGAATAATGATCTGATCAAATTTGACGGTGGCGTTCTTCGATCTCGGTAAGGTACATAACTACTAACCTCAAATAAAAGCCTGAGATTATGCGACCGATTACTTTACTAAGATTGAATAACATTACAGTCGCATATTCTCATAAATTACTGCTGATTTTAATGTTTGACTATTGCTTCTCTATCTAATGATCTGTAACTTAAATCATCAATATGACTGAAATTCTATTAGAAAAAGTCATGTAATGCACAACAATTGAGCGGTGTTGTAACTTTTTAAATTAGTACCCTTTACACATTAAAAAAATGCTACTCAAAAAAGTCAACTCGAACATTATTATCAACAGATTAAAAGTTGAAATTCGTCGATCCAGAAAACCTATGATGATACTTTCTAAAAAAAATCATTATCTCCCAAAAAGAGAACCTTGACAGAAACAAAAGCCTTGAGAAATGTCGGACGCTAATGATACCTTTTAATACCTTGACTCCGAACACCTTTAGTGGAAACTCTCATTAAGCAACACAAAAAGCGAAAAAATGTCTTCTACATTCAATCATCATCGATAGTCGCATCCCATACTAAATAGTGTGGTGAAGCATCATCAGAATACTAGAAGATCATTTTCAGAACGCAACACCCGGTAATGATAAGTCTTTTTCATGAATACATTATAAAACACACCTACTGGAAGAAAGCTAACAGACTGAATATTGAAGAAACTAGATCATGAAAACCTTCATTACACTACAAACTAAAAAGTCAGCATCCGGAAAAAACCTATCCATTCCATCACTTTTTTCACACGTATCAAATACCACAAGCAAACATCATACTTACTTATAAGAAAATCTTCTGAACCTTAAACCGTAGGAAAAAAAACTTCTAGTGTAACAAAAACATAAAAAAATGAGTGAAAGGATCAAACTAATTGCCATTGATGATAATTTCCATGCATTTGCTAGCTCTTCATTATTTCATTGAGACTGTACTAGTTTTACTAATGATGTTTTTGATGCGACTCATCATTTATCGTTTTTCAATTGAGCTCAAAATCATGTTAGTCATGTTACTTTTGACACTTTTGCTGACTCATCGTTTTTCGGCTAAACTAGAACTATTTTTAAAAATGATGCTTTTGATAGTTTTGCTCATTCTTCCTTTTTTTCGCTGCAATAGATCTAGTTTTGGTCAATATGTTTTTCATACTTTGCTCATTTCTGAAATTATTGGAAAAGCAAACATGACTTCATATGTATAAAGAGTGCATTGTGTCTGAGCTTGTGATTTGGATCTTTTCTGAGAACGTAGGCCACTAAAAAAAATTCTATTCTTTTCATAAAATGAAAAGATGGAAAAGTATCATTTGATATTTACTTTTGAAATAACCTAGGACGGTTGTTTGAAGACATATATTAAGTGTTCGAGAACAATACCACTAGAGATTGGGCTCTGTTGTGGATACAAATCATATTGAAAAAGAGGTTTTTTTTTCTTTGGAAAAAGCGAAGAATAAGGATATTCACTAAAACGATCATTTCATGATCACTTCAAAATAATTAGCGAAATGATCATCTTTGCATGTTGTTACCTTCGAAAAATCATTCGAAAACTCGATGTGGATCTTTTATGGATAAAAACTACATTAATGCAAGTTTTTCTGCAGTGGACAGCAAAAAGTGTGCTAAAGCATCGAAAACCTGAAAAGCATAATTTTATGCTCACTTGCAAACAACTCAGGGAGAGACACTATCAGCACATATTTTTAGCTGCGGAAAATCATTGGAAAATCTGCCTACTTTAGATCTTTTCTGGGCACAAAGTATATTAAAAAAATTCCTATTTGGTTAAAAAAAAAGGCAACATGAGTGCAAGTACCAAAAGTATCCATAACATCCAAATCATCAAAAGCATCATTTATGCCCCCTTTGATGTAACTTCGGAAGAGATCATCAGTGTATATTTTTGAGCTCAAGAAAATCATTAGAAAATATGATTGAACATTTTCTGAGCATAAATTGTATTTAAACAATTTCTGTTTCAATGAATAACGAAAAGTGAGCAAAAGCATCATGTTATACCCAGTTTTCAAATAACTCACGAAGGCCTACTCAGAAGTATTTGGACTTTTGAGCCTTTTAACACATAAGCAGAAAGATACTTTGTTAACAATATAAAATCACAGGCTAGACCGTTCTAGCATGCACATTTCTTATTATGTACCTTTCTGAAATAATGCAAACACGTGAAATGCTTACATTCTTGAGAGTTTCATGCTGTGTTTTTGAATATGTATGGAAGGTCAATATTTTCTGCGGATTTTAACAACATTTTCCTACCATGATAAGAATATATATGAATATCTCATAAAAAACGCAGCAAGACAGATTTTGTCTAGAGTAAGAATAAACAGTAGATTTCATGCAAAGGTATTTATTTCAGAGATGCGCAAGTACTTTTCTTGAGTACTTTCGTATTTTGTTTAGCGCAATTACTGTTTTTGATACTTTCAGTTAGTTTTAACTATTGTCAATTCAGAATTATTTGAACTACAAAACTATGCCGTTAAGTAAGATCGTTGAGCTAGTTTTTATGATAAAAAAGTCTCAGAAATTCAAGTACTCGAGAAACAAATGCTCTCGAGTACTTGAATTTGTGATGCATTTTTCATCATAATAACTAGCTCAAACATAATACCTATTGGCATCATTTTATAGCCCGAACAGTTTTGCATTGATTGATGTTACAATTAATTGATAGTATCAACGTCCGTTATGATAATAAACAAAATACTGAAGTATTCAAGAAAAATGCTCGTCCAGCTCTGATTTATTTGTAAAAGAAAGATGAACAATACTTCGTTCTATATTTCATTTGCGCCCATCAAGTTTCTGATAATAATGACAACATATATGAGATATGAAAATCACTCTATTTTATTATATTCACTCTTTTTCTAGCTTATCTTTTCATTCAGGCCTATGTGCATGAAATTTTTCTCATTTATATAAACAATGTTGGTGCTTTACTCCGTTTTCTCGTATATTCATACTTATCATAGACGACTATGGAAGTGAAGAGAAAGAGAAAGAGAAAGTATTTCAAAAACAACATTGTCCTATCTGGATTTAAAATTCTCTTCTTTCTCTCTCCCATATTTGAATCTCTCTCTTTTTCTCTTGCACTTGAGTTGAATCTTTTCTGATCTAGAATGAAAAATTCATAACAAATATGTAAGTTGATATTTTTTCATATGCCTCTTTAATTGTTTAACGTAACTTGTTCTGAACTTTCATTTATGGTTACAACCTTTTCGTTTCATTTTTTTCCTTTTCATGATTTCCTATTTCGTCTGTTATATTCTCAATTTGCCTAGTTTTTCATACAATATATTCTGCGTTGTGCGTTTTCTACATTTAATCTTACAAAACATCATTTTTAAGGCATCTTTTTTCGCTTCAATATACAAATAAAGCCTCGTCGTCACGACTCTCTTGACTCTCGACTGAATCTTCAACTCGTTACGTATCATATACTACTTTACAAGTCGAATCGATACTAGTATCAGATGTATGCACAACGGTGGATGGAAGTCAACGTGTGGATGTTGATGTGCGCACACATACATATCCATACATCCAAACTCAACCATATCCACACCGATACCCACAAAAAGTCTTAACATTTTACGATGTTAATTTGGGTTCCAGATTGTTAGTCACAGATGTTTACAAGAGTAGACGTAAAAACAATCACAAATCTATAATGTATAAACAGTTAAAAATGTTAGGTTGTGTAAGAAGTGATCGTTTTCACACTGTATTTTTCTGAATATCTTTATATGACAATCGGGGACCGCGATTAGCATCCGAGAACGGTCGGAATGTTTTGAGCATTTAGATGCATTTTTTCAATTTTCTTGTCTACCTGGATAGAGTTCTATTATTACATGCTGATTTCATTTCAATTAAAAACAATATTTCTGATTATTTTTCACGAATAAGTTGAATTGAGAACAATTTTCTTCACGTTCTAGTCCTACTGCTAAAAATATTTTTATAAAGAAAAAATTAGCACAAGAATTACATTGATATCAATGCCCCAACTAAATGAATTTTCAAGTTTTATGCCAAAATAAAATCCATAAGATAACTGCTTGCATCACCTGAATGTTAGATTATATTCAATATAAATCTGGAAAAATATTAAGAAAAAAAAAGCTTTTAAATACACACGCAAATACTACCATTCACCTATACAAAGATGGAAGTAAAAGTTACAATAAAATCCTGCTAAGATCTTGAATCTACAGATTTCTGCTAGAGTCAAAACAAGAATATAGTGAAAACTTGAGAGTCCTTCCGT